CATCGGGACCACCTGGCTCCTGGAACAAACATACTCTGTGTGGACTCGCAGTCACACAAGCACCTGTGCAAGGTTTTGTGAGGGCTTCAGAAAGATCTGGAAGGCAGCCTAGGGCCACAGTGCTGCATCCCCCACCCCAGGCTCTTGGCGTCAGTGGGAGGAAGACTGGACTTTCTCAAGGGCATAAAGCAGGGACAGGGCTTACCCCTGGGGGGCAGGGGACTCCTGAATGTTGTGGGGGCCTCCTCCCTCTTCTTTCTCACTCACCATCTCCTCCTTCACATCAACCTCCTGCAGTTCAGCTGTGGCCTCATCTTCCACTGCAGCCTTCTTCTGAGAGTCTGACTTGGCCTCTGGAGCACTGGCTTTCTCCTGGGCTTCAGCCTTGGCCTCCTCTTTCCCTTCAGCATCCTTGCCTCCAGCTTTGGCCTCCTCCTTCCCTTCGACCTCCCTGCCTCTGGCCTTGGCCTCCTGCTCCCCAGCAGCCTGCTTTGGCTCAGCCTTGGCTTCATCATTCATATCGCCTTTCTCCCTAGATTCAGGCTTGGTCTCTTTCTCATCAGCCTTCTGCTTCTCAGAGGCCAACATGGCCTCCTCTTTGCCCTCAGCCTCCTTGAATTCCAAGTTGGTCTCTCCTTTCTTGTCAGTCATCTCCTGAGGAGCCACGGTGGTCTCTTTCTTCCCATCATCCTCCTTTTGAAGTTCAACCTCTTCTTTGGATTCAACCTTGACCTCATCCAACCCATTTGCTTCCCCATGGAATTCAGCTGAAGTACTGTCCTCGGCTGGTGCCTGCTTTCCTGCCCCATCTGGAGGCCCCTCTTTGATGATCTTCTCATCTGGGCTTGTGGCCTCTTTCTCTGCAGAAGCTCCACCTCCCACCATCTCCGGGGCAACTGCGGTACCATCCTCAGGCTTCCCTTCCTTCTGCTCCATCTCTGGAAAGAGAAGACAAGCAGTCCTGGTCATGCCCCTCCCTGCAGCAGGTGAAGGCCCTGAAGTCTGGGGGCCTGCAGTTCAGTCCTGGGTCTCCCACTGCTCGGACATGTCACACAAGCCTCCACTTTCCCTCTGGCGAAATGAAGGGGTACAGCGTTGCTTCCTCCAAAGTAGGGTGTTGGACCAGCCACATTTACTTGATGTTGAATGATGTTCACCTAACAGCCCTCAGCAGGTTGTGACTTGGGCTTTAAAAAACACTGGATCACATAATGCCTCTTCAGTGATTTTGCCTCTTTTTGACGAAGCCTGTGAGGTGTTTACAACTTGATACTAGCATCCTGGACTCCTGTGGAGCAGTTGCTCCTCTCTCCCCTTTTTAATGGAGATAGTTAACCTCAGGCTACAAGTCCAAATTCTCTAGATAGAATTTAATAATACTGTTTTGATTTCATTGTATTTATTTTTATAGTTACTTTCTATTTCTGGCCAGTGATAGTGAGTTTCCATGTCCAATAGTGATATAAAGTTTCTTTTAAAAATACATTTATTGAATTTAAAATAAGTTCATTCAAAGGCAGACATTCAGGAAAGCAGGATACAAAATACCTAAATCACGGAGGTGGTATAAAAATGCCTGGAATTTGGGAAACCCCAGGCCAGCTTGGTCTCTGGGTCTCTGCCAGTTCCGCCAGCCTGTGTGTGGTTCTCTGAAGAGCTGGACCTGGGCCTGGAAGAGTTTCTTTTGGTCAAGAACAGAAACATCCTCTCCTTAACTAACCTCTGCAGGGAAATCTGACCCTCCAACTGCGGGGGGTGGGGGTGGGGAGGAGAGAGAGACTACAACACTTTAACGTGAGGTTTCCTATTCAAGTACTGTATATACAGTTAGCTCTCTGTATCCGCGGCTTCTGCAGCTGTGGATTCAACCACAGATGGAAAATATTTGGGAAAAAAAATTCCAGAAAGTTTGAAAAAGCAAAACTTGAATTGGCTGCCACTTCAACTGTTTACATAGCGCTTACATTGTTACTAACAACTGTTTACATAGCATTTTCATTTTATTGGGTGTTAGAAGTAATCTAGAAATGATTTAAAGTGTAAAGGAAGATTGTGTAGGTTATATGCAAATATTACCCCAATTTATATAAGGGATCTGAGAATCCGCAGGTTTTGGAATCTGCAAGGGATCCCAGAATTATTCCCTGACAGGCACTGAGGGACGATTATACTGCATGACCTATAAAAACAGGTGGGTAGGGGGACAGGGCCAGCTCCTTCATCCTTCTGCCCTTCTTGGGTGTGTGTGGGGGGTCCTGTTTACAGAGAAAATAATCCCCAAATAGTGTTCAGGGTATGACTCAGGCAGTAAAAGAAGTAGACACTCCTGTCACTGGCTAAAAATACCTCCTGCTCTCTGCAGTGCCATCGTTCTGGGTACAGTACCCAGAGCACCTGGGTAACTGGGACAGAGGAGGGAACACAGGTGTACGAGGGACAGGGCCCTGTTCCTGCCACCCATTCAGGTCTTACTGCCCCCAGACTGGACTGCTGGGGTCCCTGGATTCGGTCCCCCACCATTTCCTAGGAAGCAGGCTGGGATTTTCAAAGATGCTCACGCTGCCCTCCCATTTCACCCCTCCCGCCAGAACCCCTTCATGGTTCAGCAGCTCCAGCAATGAATTGAAGTTGGAAACAAATGAGCCTGGGAGATAGAATACACATCAACAGGGAGCCAGGCGCCGGCCTTGACCCCCATCTCCTGTCACCCACTCTGAGACCTGAGCATGTCTCTCTGCCTCTCTGGAGAGAGCCTCAGTTTCCAATGCAGTGACAGAATTGATCTCCATCAGGTTTTCAAACTGTGTTCAGTAGAAAACAAGGGTCTCCTAAGATACTAACATGGGCTGGGGGTGGGGGTCAGGGGAGAAGTATTCTCTGGCTGAGGTTCCAGAAACAGCCTACTGTTAACCCTTTTAGAGACGTATACCATCATTAGCGCTTAAATCGATTCCAGACACCCCACAGGACATAAACCTTAACTTCTGTCAGCTTTATTTATCTCACTTTCCTCCAAACCTATTTGGTCATGGATTTTTTTTCTTGCTTTGTTTTCTTTTCCCTGAGATGCACATACCACCCTCTTGAGCAATGCCACCTTTAGCAGCAGGAAGTGTGGCAAATGCTGGTCTACGTGAGCCGCACAACCCGTTCCTGCCCTGCGCTCCAGTTTGGCAGGTGGTCTGGAGCAGCGGTGAAAATTCTTGATTCTGCAGCTTCCCACGAGGGGCTCCCAGCTCCCACTGTTCATTACTCCCACTGTGACCTTGAGCGAGCTGCTTACCCTCTCTGTGTTTTGATTTATGGAGATAAAAATAGGTCTCACCTCATAAGGATGGTAGAGGGTTAAGGAAGCCAATGCATAGGAAGTACTTTGAGATGTGCCTGGCACAGAGGGCTTGCTCAGTGTACATCAGCTGGTCCGGTGGATGTTGGCCTCTGTCCAGCCCTGTGCCAGATTAAGGTCCTGACCTAGCCAGGAGGGCATTTAGTTGGTAAGATGAGGCAAAGAGAACTGAACACCAGAAAGATGATAACCAGCCCTTTTAATTTTTTATTTTTATTTCTTAATTTTTTTACATTTTTTGGGGGAGGGGTAATTAGATTTATTTATTTACTTAACGGAGGTACTGGGGATTGAACCCAGGACCTCATACATGCTAAACATGCAGTCTACCAATTGAGCTGTAGCCTTCCCACCCATAACAAGCCCTTTTTATGCCTCAAGGCATGGAAGTCATTGGCTGAGACATAGCTGAGTGTTCAGCCACATGCTACACTCTCAGGGTGGAGGGGAAAGGCAGACAGACGCACAGGGACACCTCAGCCGTCCTGCGTTCCTCACCTCAGCTTTCCACCCTCCAGGCTTGTCATAAATAGATGAGGAGTGAAGAAGCTCAGGACGCTGAGACACCAGGATAACACCAGCCACGCCGGCACGAACAGTGCTGTAGTAGCCCTCTACAGCCTGCACCGCAGTGCCCTACTTTCCTCCCCTAGTTCCTTGCTCTAACCCTTCAGAAGAAGTCTTATTGCCCCCATTTTACAGATTAGGAATTTGAGGCTCCAGGAGTTGAAGTCCTTTGACTTAAAATCACAGGGCAATGAAATGGCCAAACCGTACTTAGAAGCCAGGTCTCCTGATAACTGGTCCAGGGCCAGTGCCAGAGACGTTGCCCCCACCAGCCCCTCAGCCAGTGTCCCTTCAAAGGCTCCAGGCCAGGGGGAGGGGCAGCCCACAGGTGGGGAGGGCACTGGACATGGCTGAGGAGCGTGGCTCTCTCTTCTAAGTGCACAGTAGGCCCGCCCCTTCCCCAGGAAGCCTCCGTTCCATCCCTGTTTTGTGTCCACCTCAGAGAGCTCCCCTCTCCCTCTTCCTGTTTTTCTTGGCAGACCAGAAGGAAAAGTACCCAGGAGCTTGAGCTCCAAGCTCCACATAGAATAGACGACACTTGGTGGTTCTGCTCATACCTCCACAACCCTCTGCCACCCCATCTGTCTTCTGAAGGTCCTGAGGCTTCCGCCATCCCCCACCCCAGCCAGGAACCCTCCCTTGGAGACACCACTCTCCGCTGCTTGGAGACCCTGCCTCCCACCCCAACTGCACGAGGCCCTCTCTACCACTGTCAGGGCCTCATGGCTGGCCACCTGCAGGCTACTCCATGGATGATCTCAAGATTTCCAGCACCCCAGGGCTGAGTCCCCAACCTCTAGCTTCAAAAAAAGTTGACATAGTGGTGGCGAGAGTTAGAAAAGAGCCTGGATTTCTCCAACTGTGGGGCCCAGCTTAGAGGCTCCAGCCCTTGGAAGATGGGAGAGGGGTTGGAAGACGGAGAGGGGCGCTTAGAAAGGGGCCCGAGGCTTCTCCTACCTGTAGAGTCTCTGCCTGGGGGCTTGGGAGCTGTCTCCTTCCTCTGGCTGAGTGGCCTCACTCCCAGGCTGTCTTTAAGCCCCAGTGGCTTCTAGCCCCCAGCTCTTCAGTCCCCGCCCCCACCTTCACCTTCCCCCACCTTCTACCCTACCCCACCCCCACTTGAAGAGCCTT